TTTTTTTCCTGCAAATTCTAGGTATTGGTGCCGATGGGCTACCAGCCTCTGACATTTTGGCTATTAAAATCACTTGTTTAGCATCTAGCTTCGCAGCTTCTTTAACTATTTGTAATACAATCCTTAAGATTTTAAAGACTTTGCAACGTTTATCTTCTTGGTGATGCAGTGACCATGCAAGCACAGAAATCTGCTCCTGATAGTATGCAATGCAAGGATAAATTCCTGATTCAGCTAACGATTGTGCCATATGGCACAACAGAAGCGGAGATTACATCTGGCATGGTATGATTGCTCTAAAATGGATTGATGATAATTATCTGCCGTTTATTCTTGTGTTTCCAAAACTAATGTCGGAATAGTTTCTAGGGATTCCCCTTATTATTTAATCTTCTTCTTGTGGCAGTTTGCAAAAGACAGTGATAGATATATTGAAGAGAGAAAGCTCTGGGTTGTTCTTACTAGCCCAACCCATTCTTCCATCTGCCTGTTAATGGAATTTTGAAGCAAGAACCATCAAATGACACTTCAATCTCGAAAGAGAAATTGCAGAGCAGAGTTGAACATTTACCTCCTACCCAGATGGTGAGAGATTTTAACATAATTTTTGCTCTAGCATTATGTGATTGATGCCTGGTGCTAACGTGCAGACAGCTTTCACTGCTTGTATGCTCTCAGCAGTTGATGAAACTCCTTGATAATTGTTTCGTCATTTGACATTGTGCTATTTGTTGCTTGATATCATGTCATGCGGCTGTATTGACATGTTCACCTCACTGCTCTTGTTTCTTATATGTTTGTGAAATTATAGGAATTTTTTAAGTATAATTTCGAATACATTATTACTCCAAAGTCTGAACTTTCTATATTGAATATCTCTGATCATATTGCAGAATCCTTCCCCCTACTGACCTGACCCATAGTAATGCTCTCTCTCTTTGGTGCAGCTGGTAAAAAACGTTGCAGATGCCAAGATGACCACAAGCATGGAAGAGCTTATACTGCCTAATGTCGTGGAAAATGTGAAGTCTGTCCCCGCTGAGAACAATAAGCTTAAAACTGACAACGATGAAGATTCAGCCAAACAAGTACGAGGAATCAAGAAAAGTCAAGGATGTG